ATACTCCATAATCATGCTTCCAATCAATATGAATACTTAGCATGCCATACTACTAAGTAAGTTGTCTTAGCAATTAATAATACTTTATTATAATATTTCAATATTTTAAGCATGTCTACGAGAAATTTTAAAATAAAAAAAATTAACTGGCCACAAAGAATATCTTTCAATGCAAATACTTTATAAATGAGATTCAACAAAATTTATACACCATAAATCTCAACATACAATATATGATAAATGTCAATAATGCATATTTTTCTAAACAATCATATACAAACAATGATTATGATATAAACTAATCTCATATTCATGTAAGGAATATAATATTTTCAATATTACCAAATACGAGTTGTGATAAAAAAAATATTAAGGCTAATTAACCCAACAAGTTTTAACAATAGCACATTTTAGTCAAAACTTTTAATGTTTTAAAATTTGCTAAACTAATTTTGTCTTCTCTTATAGACTGAAATTTTTACTCTTATCCATTTATTTTCACAACTCATTTATTTTTATTACCTAGGATCGTTATGACAATATTTACTGAATTCATTATACCAAAAGCATGCTCTAAATACTTACTAAGAAATAACCTTTTATTTAATGCTCTCTCAACATGTTACAATATCAATATTATAAAACAATCAATATCTTATGATAGCATACTTGATTTAGTAAATATTTTGTAAAATCAAAAGATTTTAAAAGTTAGTCTAATAATTTATGTGAAACAAATTCACTATTCAATTATTTAACATATGTTATTACTCTCATAACATAATTGCATAACTTTAACAATGATACTCTTCCACTGTTTTAGCAAATTAGCATAAAATTTAAATGTCTTTCATAAATCATTTCATATTTCCATGAAAAACATGAGTTTCTTAAATATATATATATATATATATATATATCACATTATGTGCTTTATTAGACTTTAAACTTAATGCCTAAAATTTCAAATCATAATTATGTGATATTTATAAAATTAAAATATTGTAAGCATGCTAAACATATTTATCATGTATAACACATACTTTCAAAAGTACTAAACTTAATTTTAGATGTCACATTTTACATAAGCATTATCATTCATAAAATTATTCTATCAAACAATGATACATCAAAACAAAAGTAATAAATCAAATTTACTAATCATGCATATGACAACTATTTTTATGGATTCATATGACTTAGACAATATTTTATAATCACAAAATACAACATTTTATCAATTGGACAATAATCAACAAAATGTTCAATACTTAACTATTATGTCCAAGAAAACACATATGACTTAATTAAGTTTCAAATCACTTTTATTACTTTTAATTAGAGCCACTTAATTTTTATCACCAAATCAATTCAATATTCAATACAAAAAATACAACTTTTCACATATGAGCAATAATCCATACAAATAGTACTAGCCCAGGATATATTATTTGTAATAAAACTAAAAAGTTCAAATGCATCATTACAAACTCCCTATTGAGCAAAGAATGTAATATGTTGTTAAGCACTTTTTATATGAAGCTAATACAGAAATATCTTAGTTTTTGAAAAGTCTATCCCCTTTGGATAGACCTTCTAGACCAACATACCCTTAATTATGATACTTCATATCACTCAAATTAACCAAACACAATAGCTCACTTTGGGCAGGCGATTATATAACGTAATTTGGAAGTACTCTCATTCTTGTGCAGGAGAACATCTTGTAAGTATCAATGAGTGAACCACTTTGGCATCCAAACACCCACATTAGCCAATTATATATTCTCACACCGAGAAATTTGGATTACCTATTATTGCATACTACATACTTAATTAAGTGTATGCAATTTGACAATTTCTCACAAGATACTTAACCATGATTTTTTTTTTTTTGGGTTATTAAATACTTAAAAAGCTTATCATTCTTGTGTGAGACACTAATAATCAATGTATATCCTGATGGATCATTATAAATATGATCTCTCTTTATGAGATACTTAAACCGAATGTGTTTTACTATATCAAAATTAATTTATTGCATTCAAAATCCAAGTATCTTGAAATTCATTAATAAATCAATATTAAATCCATAATTTATTCTTATGTATCATCTATCACACTATAAATTTCATAAATTAATGATGATACATAATGTCAACATAGTCATGGAAAAAAATAAATCAAGGCAATAATTTTAAATTCAAGTTATTTCATATAAATAATAATTTAATATTATCTAATAATCAAATGAAATTATGCAATAAATTACCCAATTGATACTAGCTGCATCAAAACCTTGTAAAGTTTAAGCCTAACTTGTCTTTCAAAATAGTGCATATTGCATTTTAAAGGGATAATAAAAAATTACTAAAAATAAATTTTACTAAATTTATTCAACATAAATTTAGGCTAAGAGTACATAAATTGTAAATAACATATAAGCAGAGTATGTACCTCCAATGAAATCACAACATGCCCAAATATTTTATTATAAAATAAAATAACAAAATTCATGTGCATAAAATATAATACTTATTTAATCGTGCATAAAATATAATACTTATTTAATCATGCATAAATATTATATAATAAATATTTTATGCCATTTAAAAATTTCATAAAAATAATAAATAAATGTAGCATAAAATTTTGGAACTAACAAAATAAATAGCATAAAAAACAAACACCAATGAGTCCAAACGGGTCAATTTATCTGATACTATTTACTTACTCAATATTTCATCCAATTAGCACTATTCATCCAATTAGCACTATTCAAACTCAGTTGTGGTTATTGTCTCTTACTTTCAACTGGATCAAACTTACCTAAATGGGTCAAATTTGACCTGTTTTGGATATATTTCGATTTAAAAACCAATTTGATGCTTTCTTTTGTAATTAACCTTTAAACATGTAATTAACACATAGATTTACAAAATCCATGCCATAATTTGCATCAAAAACACATAAATCACCATGAATTTAGCACTATTCATCCAATTAGCACTATTCATCCAATTAGCACTATTCAAACTCAGTTGTGGTTATTGTCTCTTACTTTCAACTGGATCAAACTTACCTAAATGGGTCAAATTTGACCTGTTTTGGATATATTTCGATTTAAAAACCAATTTGATGCTTTCTTTTGTAATTAACCTTTAAACATGTAATTAACACATAGATTTACAAAATCCATGCCATAATTTGTATCAAAAACACATAAATCACCATGAATTTGAGAACAAAATTTCATATTCATAGCCATTCTTGACTTGTTTTTATTATTTGGTTTTCTTTGTTCGATTTTTCATGTTTTCTTTTAGACTCGGTCTTCCTTTCATTCTTCTTTTATTAGCGGCTCTCAATGGGTAAATACCGCTAAAATTAAAAGTGAATAAGGGACCTTAACTAATTTATATTAAAACCCTATAAACCTCCCTATTAAAAGTTTACTAAGCCATAAATCTATATAACCGTTAAACTATACTGATTTAATAAGATGTGTAAAACTCATATATAAGTTATCACATTAAATTATTTAGGCTTTCATGTTTGTCTCATATTAATACTAAATTTATCAACCTATTTTGTTAAACATTAAAATCACCAATTAATAATAACTCACTCACTAAAAAAGTTTAATAATTTGTCCCTTTCGAATAGAATAATGGAATTTATGAAAGAATTAAGTGTTAGAAAAACCGACTTTCTTTTTTATATATATTTTATGATTATTTGTTTTTATCTCAACAAAGAGATCAAATCAATATTCATTTAATTTTCTGGTATTCATATGTAATATCACAATAATGGTAGAAATTAAATTATTATCATTTTTTTATATTCTATACAAAACTCCATAAGACAAAATGATATTTATCAAATTTTTTATGTATTTATTTTTACAAATATAAATTCATACACATTTTGTATATATAATAGATATATGGAATTAGATAAAATTTCATGTAAACAGAATAGAAATTCAATTTCATCATTATTAAATCGATTTATATTATTTGATGGAAAATGAGAAAGGGATAGGATTATTTTGATAAGTGAGAAATTCAAATACTCATCCTTCGTGTATTTTGAGTATAATTGATGAAGAAATTAAAAAGTTAATTTAACTATCATTAAATTTATATAATTATGATTTAACACTTGTGACAAGCTTGTTGATATTAAGAGTTTATAAAAAAAAAATTGATAAATAGAATAAATAGACAATAGCAATTGAATTTTAACATCTATTAAATTGTAAGATATAAAATTAAATTATTGGATCAAAGAAATAATAAATTAACATTTTTAATTTGAGAGCCAATTAAATCTATTTAACATATATATTGACTAAGGATTTCTAAAACATTTGGCTTCTCCGGCTCCCATTTTGATTCGCCGTTGCCAATGGTTACACTACATTTTAACCAGATTTGCTTCAAAATTAGAAGTATAATGATAAATATGTTTCAAAATTAAATATATGATCATAAAATTTGAAAACTTGAGAAAAAGACTATGTACACTGTTGTAATACGTTCACTTTGATCATAATATATAAATCTTCAAAGTTTTAGTACTTTCACTTAAGTTTTTAAAATAAGAAATAAATCTGTGAAATGTTGGAGCAACTTTTTGCATGTCAACATAATGTACACCATATCAACTCAGAACACCAAATTTTCAAGTAAAGATAATATCTGCACCATATCAACTCAACTCGCCATGGTTTATAATATTTAAGCGTTGAAATTTTTATAATAAAAAAATAACTACACATTTGCAATCAATTTAAAGTTTGATGTACGTAATCATGTGATTAAAACATAAAATCTAGTGGTTGAATAACATATAAAAATATAAAATAATATAAAACTTAATTATCTTTATATGTGTGTAAATGAATCTCGCTTATTTTTAAACATAATTTACTTTGTTTCCTAATATTTTGCTTTTGCGTTTTAGCAATTATTTAGTAAATGAACCTTAATAACCACAGAGCCCCAGATGGTACTTCTTTGGTTAAAGATAGGGACTGCAAAAATATCTCCGAAAAAGGTGAAAATACAAGAGTAAACTACAATATTAGGATGCAAACTTTGTATATATTCAATAAATTCAGATCCATTCCAAACCATTGGAATTGAGAGCTACTAAATTAATATAATGACCTGAATTAGGCTAATAATGCCCTGAAGGAAACTATGATAATGCAAAGTTTTGTCATGGGTGATCAATCAAACCTATAAACCCGTTTGGCAGAATCAAGAGTGTTGCACAGGAGCATGGCAATTGTCATAGGTCCAACTCCTCCAGGTACAGGAGTAACTGCTGATGCAATTCTCAATGCTTCTTCATGGCAAACATCTCCAACAAGTCGGTATCCATGCTCAGAGCTGGGGTCCTGCCAATCCATGAAAGAATTTAAGGCCAAATTTTGATTATCACAACAATACTTGGAATAGAAGGTACTGTCAATGAAGCTACTTTATTCCGTAGTTTACTAGTTTATCAAATTACCTTCCCCAAAGTTGTGCCATTCATTTTCTGCAATGAAATCAGAAAGCATTTACAATCACGCAAATCAATGAAATATTACCAATTTTACCTCAATTGGACATGTCCCAACATCAATAACAACTGCACCCTGCTTTAGCCAACTGCTGCGAATCAGATTAGGTACCCCGGCAGCTGTGACTATGATGTCAGCTTCACATGTGATCTGTTCAGGATTCTTTGTGAAAGCATGTACAATGGTGACGGTCGCATGGTGCCTCTGTCCAAAAATGTCAGGAAAATTATGCTTACTCAGTTAAATAACAACATTGGACACAATTAAAAAGAACCGGTCCTTAAACCCATAAGATGTATAAGAATGGACCTGTTTGAAAAAATTAAAATATAAATATTCCCAATAGAATTTTAGAAATAAAGATTTACACATATCATCTACAGTCACTGGTAAATTGTGTGAATATAGCAAGTATTAAAACCCTTTTAAATGGTCTAAGATCAATCTATGTATTTTAGTTAACTGAATGATTATCGCGCACTACTTGTGTGATAAACAAAAATATTTTTGATTAGTTAAAAAGATATAATAAATGGAGAAAAGGATAATGACAAATTAATATCAAAGAAAGAGAAGAAAAAAAGATAATTAATGAAATTTGGAGTCACAGGTACTTCTGCAAAATTGCAAATGTGTCTGTATCCCATTTTTGTAAATTTACAACCACTGAGATTTTGTTATATATATGAAGAAAAAGATAATACTAGCAACTAATCTTGGGGAAAAAAAATTAAAAGATCACAATTTCAGCATAAAAGTTGTGTTGCCTTGGGAGAAAGACACAGAGAGAAGAAGAGAAGTGAGTTTCAAGTGATGAAAGAACAATTTATTCAAATGTTGAAAGAATTAGCCACCTACTAGTTAGTCCATTCATGTCAACTTCTTTTTGCCTCTCCATATGTGTATGAAACATGCTTTACAAACATATATGTACATATAAAATGCTTTATTACCTGCAGTAGCAAGGCTATAGGCAATCCCACAATGTTGCTTCTCCCAATCACTACTGCCTTCTTTCCCACTATTTCCATGCCAGATCGGATCAATAACTCAAGGCAACCCTTAGGTGCACAGGGAACAAACAGTGGTTCCCTTCCTCTCATGGAAAGATTCCCCATATTTACTGGATGGAAGCCATCCACATCTTTTTCCAAACTCAGCATATTCAAAATCTTCTCCTCATCCAAATGCTTTACCAGACAATTTTTAAGAGTCATTTGCAGAAAACTATAGAGGGTTCTCATGTAAAATTCAAGATGCTATTACAACAGAATAAGTGCGATGGCAGCGAGGAAGATTAGATCATTCTTCATATGCTGAATTATGTTACAAATTAGAAAAAAAAGGGAAAAAAGAACACATAAACTAGATTGTATGCCTCGAGGAGAAGTGGTGATTCATGAGGTGTAGTACTGCAAGAGAAAGGTATCTCCAGGAGCAGTACTAGTAACCGGCAGAAGACTATAAGGCACATTACAAAGGGACAAGAGGCACATACCAAAGGGACAAGGGACAAGAGAAAGGTATCCCAATATGAGACTAATCCAAAGATATTGCCTCAACATGCTGGGATTAATCTCATAGTGCAATACCAGAAAGTGAGAACTACAAAACCTACAAAGGACTAATAAAAAATCAAAACCAAACATCCACAAACACCAAACTTCTGAAATACTCAATTAAGATGACAGATTGGGAAAAAGTCATATTGTCTAGTAAATATTTTGAACCAATTTAATTCATTAGGCTATTAGAAACAAACTTTGATCAGAATAAATCCCTTTAAATTTCCAGAGAACTAGCACTTATAGTTTGAAATAACAAGAGCATTCACTGGAATTAATGAAAAAAGGACACCATTTCAATGGAAATGGGATTTGTCAAAGATTTCCGAGTACTAGCAAATAGGTGATCTCAAGCCCTAAGTTTATTGACAGTTAAATTTATATTTTCTATATGTTAGGCCTCTAAATCAAAGAAATTTATGTGGCAGAGATTAGGCTTGACAGCTAAATCAGTACTACCATTCTTTACCATTAGCTTCGAAAAGCAGGGGCAAAATTAAGATCCCAACTGTGGAATTACCTCTGGCAGAGGAAGCTGCACAAGAATACCATGAACTGATGGATCCTCATTAAACTTTAACAGTGCAGTCATAACATCCTCTTCAGCACAACAATTAGGAAGTTCAGCCATCACAGATTTGATTCCAGCTTCTTCACAAGCTTTTATCTTGTTACGTACATAAGTCTGTGAGTCCCTTCTCTGGCCCACCAAAATTACAGCCAAACCAGGAACCTTGCCGATGTATGCCTTCATCCTTTTTACATCAGAGGCTACTCTTGACCTGATTTCCTCTGCAATTGCCTTCCCATCAATTATCGTAGCAAGCTGCACATTGGCTGGGGTGAATATCACTAATCAAGCACATGAAGAATGCAAAAAAGCTAATTAAGGCATTAACTTACATAAAATTTTATTCTGTTACTTGTATTTATGGGCTTAATTGTAATATTTTATATACTAGGGTTTAGAATCTCAGTTTGGTTTTCCTTAACATATTAGGTTTTGTTTTTAAGTCAATTTTATAAATTTTCTTTTGAAAGAAGATTATGATGAGAAATTTTCAACATTACTGCTATTGTGATTGTGTGACGCAATTGCCATTAGGCCTGACTCCTAAGGAACCTTAGTGCTATGCTTGGTAAGAAGGGTAGAAAAACTGTTAATCCAATGGCTGGGTTCCATAAAAACTTTCCTACTTTGTAACTTACTCCTTTCCACCCTTCCTAGTTCCTACCAAGTAAAGCCTAGGTGTGATGCTTACATTTTCTTTCTTTCTGATTGTGTGATGCAATCAAGAATTCAGATGAAGCTATCTTCAAACTTTATATTTTCCTGAAGAATTCAGATCATTTTGCATTAGAAAATCATAAACCCTAGCCTTTGAAGCTAATCCTACATCATGTATTTTGGATGCAAATCCAGAGGGAGGATTACTCTGTAAATAATAGGGCACAAAGTTCCTTTGAATTTTTGAGGGATATATAAATGAAATAAGCATTTTTGCTATAAATTCCGGGAGACTGCCTTCTAACTAAAAAATAAGCATTTTTGCTATAAATTCCGGGAGACTGCCTTCTAACTATCCTCAAAAACCATAGATCAGCCGTCTAGAAATGCAGCAACTAGGCAGAAAAATATCTAATTAAGCAAAAGACCAACTAACATACACTATAAAAAGAGGCCAAGTCGGTGGAAACCAACTCAATGACTAGCTTGATATGCCAGAATAGAATATCAAAATCAAATGAAACTCAAAATTCAAGCTTTCTCTCGTCAACTGAAAATTGTATTAAATTAAACAAAATAATAACAAATAGATAATATAAAATGTTTGAGTCGGTACCTTCAAAAATTCCATTAATCTCTTAATTTAAGAGAAGAAACACCATTAATAAGACAACAAAATAACAGTTAAGCCATCCTCAAAGTAGGGATCATAGGTAAACAGAATGCAATCGAGACAGTTAAATGTGAGACTCTTACAGATTTTCGGGCTTGATGGTGGATCATAATGGTTGGAATTAGCACCCCAAATTTCTGGAACGTCCAGAGAGACAAGTGGTGGAGACAATAATATTTGCGAGCTCTGGTTGTTCTTCCAGGTATTAGGTGCCGTTGTCATTTTTGAGGATAAATGTCTTTTAGATTCTTTTGTCCATCCTACAGCCATCTTTCGAGTTGCATTCTTCACCATCATCTTCGTTATCTTCTTATACGAGCTACCCAAGGACCACATCATTTTCTCTTAATTTTCTTCCAAATTCAAACTTACCGTCCAGCAAGTTCCCAGCTTGCCCTCCGCCGCACGATTGGGACACTTTGGCCGCACACGCCTGCCAATCGCTACTGGAGTAAAGGGGTACGGTGACTTCCCAGCACCGGAGCTTCCTTTGGCTTTTCTCTTTTACCCTCCACGCATAAAGGAGAAATGAAAGAAAGATAGATGAGTTTGAGGGAGACAAATTAAAGGGGTGCGAGCAGCCAAGGAGTAGAAAGGACCGTGCAAAAAACTCAGGCTTTTAGAAGAAGTTGAGAAAAAGAGATTGAGTGTAGTTGTCCCAGCCCCACACACGTGTGTTTAGTTTAGTTTTTTTTTTTTTTTCTTCATACAAAGGGTTGTCATGGAAATCAATCAAACGCCGTGAGATCAGAAAAAAAAAGATTTTGTAATAATTTTACACAATAAAATAATGACTAAATTGTATAAAAAGTTCATAAATTGTATGAATATATAAAAGATAAAATCTTTGATAAAAAAATTTAACGTGAATGGTTTATAACAATTTGGAAAAATCACTATATGTCTTACATTTTATTTTATTTGAATTATTTTTAAAAAATTAAATTAATTATATTTATTTGTTATTATTATTTACCTTAAATCATTTTCAATTAAATTTATATTAAAGATAATAAAACTTTAATTAACATCATCATAGGATAATTTTGTGTTATCTTTTTTCAATTATAATATTCAACTCTTAAATTATATTTGTGTAAATTTTTTTTTAATTTTAAAATTTATGACATATTTATTTACTCCACCCTTTAAGTGATGTATACACATTTAATATATATATATATATATATTAATTTTAAGATAATTAAGAGATGATCAAATCAATTAAAATTAATTTTGGAATATGTTAAATAAAACGAATTTCATTACCATTAGTACACTAATTTCAAAATTCTTATTTTTTCATTTCTCCCAATCAAGTTAAATGCATAATATGTTTTAGTATTTTACAAGTCAAGAATAAATTACTCTTAATTTAAAATACTATTATTGATCCTAATTTGGTTCTTAAATTTATTTTAGTAAATTAGACATTCAAAAGTTATAAATCATCCCATAATTATTTTCAAGACCTATCCTATAAATAAAAGTGTTTTGGGATGCTTAAGAAACAAATTGCATTCTTGCAATATTTTTTCTTATTGTCGTGATATTGTTCTCTTTCTTTTTGTTTGTGATGTTATATAGATGGATTAGATGGGCAGACTACTTTGTGTTTGGTTTTGTATTATTTTGGATATTGCTTTAATTTTTTTTTTTTTGTGTTAAGATCTTTTAGATTAATTCTTTATCATAGTTGTATAATGATTTATTTTTTGAAAAGAAATTTTAAAATTGAGCAAAATTTCTTGAAAATTTAATATTTTTATTTTCTTTTTAAGTTTGACTATTGCTATTAGTTCTTTGATAGTTTAAACTGTACATATATTTGTATCTATCTTTATGCATTTTTTTAAGTTTTTGTTATGATATCTATTTATATACCAAAATTTCACTATACTTTATCATGAAATAAAAGAACAAGCTCAGTGATTAATTAGAGAAAAATGATCACTTGTCACCTATTTTATCATATGTATCAAATATACATTTTATTTTTTATTTTTTGTATGAAGTGAATTGATTTATTTTTTTTTAATGATATGATTTTTCTTTTGTTTGTCATTTTGATATTATGTTTGTTGCTTTGATATTATCACTTTCATAATTTAACTTGAAGTGGAGCTAATTGCTATCCAAGGAAACCAAAATCAATAAAAGTAGCTATTTAGTTTTAATTTTTTGACACATATAACAAGTATTATAAGGTTTACGGTAAATGATAGTTATTTTGACTAAATAATTCAAAAAAGGTAATTTTTTATTCAACATTTTACTATGCTATTATTTTTTTTACAAAATTTTTAGGGGTGTAAAATATTTTTAAAACATTTAGAATAAGTTGAATGTCTTATAATTAAAAAAAAAAAAAAAACATATAGTATCATTTAGATTTAAGAAGAGTTAAATTCAAATGTAAACTTTTATTACTTTTAACATATTGAGGTTGATAGGTTTAATTTTTATGAGAATATTAGTAACATATTTTATCATTAAAAAATAATTTTTTATCAAAATTATAAATATAACGTTTCTTAAAATAAAACAAGCTGATGTTTTTTTGATAAATAATACTCTAATTTTTAAATAATAGTATATATAATACAAAATTATCTAATTTTGTGGTTGATATATCTTTTTTTTTTTCATGTGATAGTCTAATTTAGTATCACATATCTTTTAATTCACATGTCCAAATTGATTTATTTGATAATATTTGACTTTCATTGATATTATAAATTTTGACTTGAATTTAGTAAAAATTTCTAATTATTAGCCTAAAATAATACAAAAGAAAATTCAATTACAAATTCAAATAAAAGAGGAAATTGCTACTTATATATTCAAATATTTGTATGCATAATCATCTTTCAATCAAAATTTTCATTAATTTTATTTTTATTACCTTTTATTTTAAGGTGTTAAATGAACATTATTACTAACTTAAATCTTTTTGGTGTAATTACTTCCAATCTATTGCTATTGTTAATCAATTATTAGTATTTAAAATTTTTTATTTTATTTTATTTAAAAACTAGCTTTTTTAACCCATACAATGTACATGATTTTTTATTAAATTTTTTATAATTTTAAATTTATTTTTTTAATTATTTATCTAATATATAATTATATATTTATAAATGCTAAGTTACAATTAAATGATAATTTAAACATAATATATTATAACTAATATTGTTCATGTAAAAGAAGTCTAAACTTTTGAAAATTTTCAAGAATTATAAAAATCCTTTTTTTCATTAAAAAATATCTTCTTCAATTTATTTGCTAAATACTAAAAATTTTGCTACTGCTTTTTTCTTGTTTGATAAAAAATCAAGAATCAATATTTAAATAGTTAAGATTAATAATTGTTTTTATCATAAGGTTTATTGGGTGGTGTATATATATATATATTTGATTGAACAACAAATCACAATTATTAATTTTGTTATAATATTTGCTTTATATTAGTTCTTATTTTTGACATACTTCAAGTAATTATTACACAAATATATTGGACTAACAATTATTTCTATATATGTCAACAAAATAAAGTAATTTTTTTAGATAAAAGGGAAACAATAATTCTTTATGTTATACTTAGAAACCTTTTTTTTTGGCAATATTTTTTTATTTTTAATCATTTTAAACATAATTAATAGTATTTTTTGTGAGTTAGATATGATAGTGATTATCATTCTCTCATATCATCCATTGTAGACAAAGAAATTCAATAATAAAAGGTATAGCAAAAGGAAATAAAGAATATAAATTTACATACTAATTTGTCAAGATTAAAGATATATACAATAACAAAAGCAAATATGTTAATAAATGAACAGAGAATAAAAACATTGAAGAAATGAATAAAACAAAAAAATATATAATACAAAAAAGTTAATTATAATCAATCTAAGCAAAATTAAAAAAAGTTATGTACTAAAGAAAAACAAATAAATAAATTAAATATATAATATAAAACTATTTGAATTAGAATATAAATAAAACATTATATTTGTTTTCAACGTAAAAACATATTTTTATCTAACTTTTTTTAATCAACATTCAAATGTTTCATATTTTCATATAAAGATGTAAGCTTTTAGTACTTTAAAAATACATGCTTTCTAGTCAATAATTTATTAACTTATAAAAATATTAAATTTAAGTAATCTATTAAATAATTTTCAATTTTTGATAAATTTTGATTTGAATTTAAATAATTATCTAAAAATATTAAATTTAAATAATTTATTAAATAGAATTATGTGATAGAAAAAAATTTTATTAAGTATATATATTTAGAATTGTTATTAAATTAAAAAAGAAAAGATAAATTATGATTTAATATATTTGAATTCAAATCTTATCCAAAAATTTCAATCTAGACAGATTTTGATTTCAATCTAAATAATTATCTAAAATATTCAATTTAAATAATTTATTAAAAATTTTATTTGATAAATAAAATAATATAAATATTATCCTATGTGTTATTAAAAGAAATTATTCACCTAGGCATCCATATAAGTAATTTTGATTATGTAACCTTGTATGTTGTAATCTAATATATATATTAGATTACTATGAAATCATGGGTTTAAATCTAGTTATAATTAAAAAATCATCTAAAATTTTTATTTTTTTATTATAATTAATAATGTCTCTCAATTTTTTTGTATTCTTAAGTTTTTATTTGGATTAAAAGTTAACACTGTTAATTGTTTTTAATTAAGATAAAATTTCATGTGATAATGATATCAATAACATATATGAAAGTTTCTCACATGATGTAATTAATATATGTGAAAATATAATAAATATTTATTTTTTTCTTTTTTTTTCTTTATTTTCTTTGTCCCACATTCTAATATCCTTTAAGAATTCAATTGACTGTAATTTGAAAATTAATTGATTAAATTTTGTTATGTGATTTGTTTTCATTTATTTAAGGATTTATTGAATCAAAATAGAAGGTTAAGGCTTGAACCATTGCAATACATTATTAAGGGCTTAAATAATTATTGAATTATAATTCAAAAGTATTTTTTACCCTTTGGTCTAAAAAAATATAACATAAAAATAATATGAAAAAAAATTCTATATAGGTTTGATAAAAGATGAATTATCAAATACATTGAGAGTTGATTTTTTTAAATCCACAAGCAGGTTTAATAGAGTGATTCATACCCCTTAGTGTATATTTTTTTAAAAAAAAATTAATTTAAAAAAAAAGAGATGTGTCATCTTATTGATCTTGCTTGTGAAATTAAAAAATTTCATTGACAATATATCAAATAATTTTTCTTAATAAAGATCCATTTCTTGTTTAGATATATCAACCCAAATTTTAACACATTATATTTGTTTTATGAATTATTTCAAATGGAGTTGAAATTTTATTTTTTATTTATTATTAATCAAAAATTAAGATGTGGTTTAAATATATTAATAGTCATATTAACTATTTTAATCGTGTTTTAAGCATATTATGTTGTACAAAATATAAATGTATTAATTTTAAATATGTTAGTTAGATTGTATCTTATTCATATTCATGTTTAATAATTCATGCCATATTCATGTTTGGATTATTTGTATTAATTCAAGAAAGAAACACAACATGAAATATGATTCAACTACACAATTGCAAGTT